CTCTCTCTCTCTCTCTCTCTCTCTCTCTCTCTCGTTTATAGAGATAACTAAATACACACTCATGAAATCAGAAAAAAAGGAACAAGTAATCATACAAGCTGTTATAAGTGGAAAACAAAAAATTAATGTTTGATTAGAGATAGATTAATAGATAGATACATACATACATACACATACATACTACATATATATAGACATTCATCCAGATTTACGTTTCTAAAGATTATCGTGTAACATTATATACCACTTAAAGAATAGCAGTCTCTCTCGCTCTTTCTCTTTCTTTCTTTCTTTCTTTTCCTTTCTTTTTCTTTTTCTTTCTTTCTTTCTTTCTTTCTTTCTTTCTTTCTTTCTTTCTTTCTTTCTTCTCTCTCTCTCTCCCTTTCTCTCTCTCTCTTTCCCTCTCTCTAATAATGTTTATACCTAGCTAAATACACACACATATGAAAGCAGAGAGGAATCATACAAGCTGTTATAAGTGAAAAATACAAATTAATGTTTGATAAGAGATAGATAGATAGATAGAGATAGATAGATAGATAGATAGATAGATAGATAGATAGATAGATAGATAGATAGATAGATAGATACTATATATGTGCACTTGTAAATGTTTTGCTTGAGACTGCTATATAATTAGAAACACATCCACACTTTCCTTGTTAGTTTGTAATGAAAGTGAACTAAACTTAGCTCCATTTCCACCCACATGTGTCTCCCTGAGCTTTCTATGATTGTGCAGATGAGTATGTTACAAGAGAAGATCCTTGAGTTATAAATTATGACAACATAACTTCTTCCATTGACTGGCCAGTTATGTAACGCCTAGATTCCCCAAGTCTCTATTACTCCAAATATATTCTTCCTATCAGGGCATCCCAGAGCTCAAATAATAAAGATGCTTTCATTCTCCTAGAGAAAATACTAACAGCAAATCACACGCCATAAAAGCAAGTGTAAATCTATTTGCAAAATGCATTAATTTTGACATGGTGCTTTGTCGGATTTAAAGATTTTCCTTACCTATCTTGAAATTAAATATAAAATATATAGAGATGCTCTAAAAATGTAGATAGCACTATAACCTTACACCAATTCCATTTTTTTTTTAAAGAGACACCAAAACGTAATCCAGTGCGAATAGAAAGGTGTGTGTGGACTGGACGTGCTGAGATTGGCTACTAAGTATAGATTTGCAGGTGGTGAGGACTTGGCACAGTAAGTGTCCATGTGGCTAATAACTTATTATAACAACATGTGTTTTTCTTGCATTCAGTATTTACTTGGCTGACGGTAGGCAGGGGGTCTCCAGCCATGATCTATTCAAACTGGATTTCTAGGAATGCACAAAGTTCTGAAATCCTACAACATGCATCCTTGGCCCTTTTCTCTCCATTCTTCCCCTCAAGCCCCCAAAAACTGTTTGGCTTGGTGATCTGCCATTGAGAATGAATCATAAAAATGTATTAGGAAGTGCATAAAACTGTATTGTGAGCTGATGACATACAAGATCACAAGAAATACAAGGGTCCTGTTGACTGAGAATCGTAAATTTACGTTCTCCAACCCAGGCTGCCTGTTTGTCTTCACTCTACGAAAAGCTGCAAAGTTTAACACTAAACGGCAGGCATGGGGAATCCTGGTCTCTAGCCGGAGCCCCTGAGGTTGTAAATATCAGATCTACAAGGCTAGACAAGAATAGCTAACCATAAAACCATACAGGATACAAATGCAGGATTGAAAAGTAAAGCAGAGATCTCCCAAGGCTGCAAACATCTCCCTGTCTGCACTTCTCAAGTCCTATAAGAAGGATATACATTTCAAGGTGAAATATCGAGACTTCGTTTGATATCCACCTATTTAATGCAGTCCCATATATACAACGTGGACTAATGGGATGGGGGCACTTAGAGCTGCAACTTTGTTTAAAGTAAAACACTTCAGTTGTAAAGTTCCTCTTGAGAGCACAGTCACTTTTCACCCTCTGCTGAAGTCCATATTTCAGAAGAGTCATCTTTAATAACTTCAACTTGACATCTTTAGCGATCTTTTATCAGCCAAACTGCATACATGTGCTTTGAGTTTTATGGACGAGCTAAGATATAACTGCAGCTGTCTACTTATTCATACCAGCCTCTAAATTTAAGGTCAACACATCTGAATGGGATGTTATGTTTTTTTTATTATTATTTTTTTTTATTATGAGAAGAGCTAGGTTGTTGCAAAACAAAATTCGATTCTAGATACATTTATTTTTTTTTTAAATGGCATTTTAATTTTTGTCCTGCCAGCAGCCCTTCTGGAGGGAATCTGGTAATATGGCTGTTTAGTCCATGTAGAATAACATAGAAGATACACGTTGTGAGACCTGCATAGGTCAGGGAGGTTTAGAGGTCAGGCTGCAAGCCTAAAATAAAGTTAATGGGATAGAAAATGTGTCCTTTGCATGAACTCTGTTTGCTGCAGTTTACCCCGAACTTCAAATAAAATACCTTTTCACACTCTCAACATGAAGGCATCATGAGGCTGAAAAAGAAGCCTCAGTGGAGACTGTTTGGGATGGAAGGCAGCTTTTTTTTTAACATTCTTCTCCCTATCTTCCTATCCCCCCCACCACCCCCCTTTTTAATGCATTCATAACACAATTGCAAGTGAGGATCCTGCAAGTGTCATTGCCATGACTGTGGAACTGGATTGCCTGATATACAAATTAAAAAAAAAATCCCAAAATGACATTTAAATCTTCAGTGTATAATTTTTCCCTTGGCATTAAAATCAGTATTAAAAGGAATGATAAGCTTGTTTTTTTTTTTTCTACCTAGCCCTGATCCTATTTTATTTCTTAATTCAATATATGCAGCCTATAGTGGGGGCTTGATTAATGTACCCGCTGCTTTCTGGGCAGAGCCGTGGAGCACAAAAGTTCCCATCTTATTCAAGCCGCTCTGTGCCTGCGACATTCAATTTTAATTCATCAAATTTTGAAGCAGTTTACAAAAGACAGTGAGAGACACACAGAGACAGAGGGGGGACCCAGAAAGGGTGAACTTACATTCTGATCTTCCCTTGCAAAAAAAAAGAAGACTCTCAGCAATGGGAGCAAACACATGGTTAACCGAGGGCTGCTGCAAACTCAACACAGGATTTTATTTTATCCAGAAATCCCAAATCAATAAAGAGCTCTAAAATTCACCCCTTGTGGTTCAATCTGTCCTGACATTTCCCAAATTCTATTTCTAAACGAGTAACAGCCTACACAGCTTCAGTCACAGGATTTATTGCCTGTGTCCTTTCTAGAGAAAATTAATATTTATGTATTTTAAACTATCTCAAGCTAAAAAAAAAAATGCATTTTAAAATATGTAATTTTAAGTCTCCTTTTAGCACCACCAAATACATTTCTGTTCCCCTTTTGACAATAAACACATTAAAACAAGAAGGGGTTAGGAGATAAAATTGGCTGTATCCTCATTCACAGAGATAAGTGTGCTTACAAGCAGCCTAGGATTGGAGCCTGCAGTGTCTCATGTTGCCTGTAATGTGCAGGCCTACCTGAAATTTTACATTCTTCTGCAGCAGCAGATAGGGCAGGCAAGTAAAAAATAGCTGAAAAACCTAAACCTTAAGGGTCCTGTACTGAGGCAAGAGGATCACAGTGGGGTCATTGCTATTTACATTGAAGAGATGCCTTACACAGCTCTGACAATGCTATAAACATTGAATTCAATAGCTCAAATGCCCTCTCTTCAAAGGCAACATAGCAAAGCCAGGCTTCAATACAAATATATACTTCATAGACATTTACTATAAATCCCTGAATTAAAAAAAATAAAATTATCAGCCCTGATATAACTAAAATTATAATATAATTATTGCCAAAATAGCCCCTGGTTAGTAAGGACAGCACAGCATTGTGACACTATAATTTGTAATAAAGCCAGGCCACTATAATAGAGTTCACCGGGCTGTTCAGGTGTTAGTGTAAGACTGGCCATACATTATACAATTTTCCTGTACAATTTTCCTTTAGATTTTCCAAAACCATATAATATGAGATTAAACCTAGACACGTTCAATTTCTATAGTATCAGGTAGGCCCTTGCATTGCATAGTTGAAGGTAAATCTAAAGGAAATTGAATAAGAAAATTGTATAATGTATGGCCAGATTAGGCTAGAAAATGTCACGTGTATATTATATTGCTTATTGCAGTAAGGGAGCAAAAAAAAAAAAAAGCAATCTTTACAACAGTGGGATTAAATGGTTAAAACAGGTTAAAAAATACACTGCCAGGTTAAACTAAAACACACTCACTGTTTTATTGAACAAATATACGGTCACATTACACTAGGACTGTTCATAGCATTTTTTTTACAGTGTAGTCTTTACCAAAAAAAAAAATGATGATGAAACACAATAACAACAGCAAAAAGGGATCTATCTACCGACTGAGGAACTCTAGTCTTTTATATTGTCATAGAATGGAATTGCCATTAAATTAGACAGATTCTGGTTTGATGTGCTGCTACTTAGAATCTGATCACAATAATAACAGGATTATTATTATTATTTTTCGTATACAAAAAAAGAGATTTCTTTGCCTCTGTGGGATTTGTTTCTAGCATGGTTAACACTCAGTATTTTAAATATTTATAGGGCAAAATTGCAGACCCTGTTTTTTTAAACTTTAGGAAAATCACTTAAAATTGAACATCCTACCTCCCCTCACAAAATAAAATTAGGACAAAACTGCCATAAAACAAAAAAACAAACAAACAAACAAAAAAACAACACTTGAAAAAAAAACCTGATCCCATGCACTGTGACATGCATTTAAAGCCTGTTTGATGATTCAAAAAAAGACCTCTTTTTTCCAACGCACAAGGAAAAAAAAAACGACAAGAACCAAAAAATATATATATTATAATTATTATTAGATTCTATAAATACTCAGTCTTTTGTGTGTAGTTTTTTTGTTGTTTTTGTTTATTGGTAGTGTATTTATAACCTTGTAATATCCTCCCGCTGGTCCTGAGCTGAGCTTTGCGTTAGATCCTCGTTGGGTGCAGAACTGGAAGCAATGATGTTGCTGGGCGCATTGGAGGAAGCTGAGGATCTGACTTTTGTGTTCGGTAATCTGTGGTCTTTTTTCCATTTCATCCTCCTGTTCTGAAAAACCAGATCTTGATCTGCCTTTCCGAGAGGCACAAGGAGTGGGCTATTTCAATGCGCCTTCGCCTGGTCAGATATCTGTTATAGTGAAATTCTTTCTCCAGTTCCAAGACTTGCTGTCTGGTATAAGCAGTTCTGGATCTCTTGGGCTCACCCCCAGTGTAATTAGGGTTCACTGAGAAAGAAAGAAGAGAATCAGGAGGACAGCCATGGAAAAAGAAGGGGGGAACAGAAGGAAGACAGGAGGTGAGAGGGAAGGGAAGGGGTAGGCAATACAAGATAATCAGGGACAGAAAAGGATAGCACAATCCCTGAAGAAAGGCGATCTGCTAAAAAAAAAAAATGCCTTGTAAAATTCCTCCAGTTCTATTAGAAGGGGATCCCTTAGCTCCAAACAGGCTGAATTATTTATGCACCCTTACAAAGCTATAGGACTTTTTCCCTCTCTCACACACACACACACTCCACATACAGAGCAGAATGAAGCACATGGCTGGAGCAGCCCAGACAGGCTTGGCTATAAAATTTATGGTGGGTGTAATTACCCATTCGTAGTCGTAAAATCCAGTTCAATTGTGCTAACCCAAAGACTCTTTGAGCTTTAGAAAAAAAAAAGAGAGAGAGGTTAAGGGAAGAAAAAAAAGTTTCCTACCAGTACTGACGTGTATTTTCTTCATCCAGGGGTAGACTATGGGCTGTTTAGTGGCTGTGCTGGTAGGATGCTCAGGATTTGGCTGGTTGCAGGCTGGGGGTGCAGGGGATGGAGTGGCAGAGGTGGTAGTGTTGGTAGGTAGAGATGGGGTTGGAAGCTCACAGATCTGGGCTTTGCCTACAAGGTGGTGGTTGCTCTGAGGTTGCCCATGGACCCTGGTGTGTGTGGCTGGGTTTCCTGGCCCCTGGATGCTGGCACAGCTGTACTGGCGCTCTGTGTAGGTTGTTCTTGGAGGGTACAGTTCCTGGTGATGATGCTGAAATCCAGTGTCCCTGGACCGGCTATAAATATTCCGGACTGTGATCTGGGATATAGTTATTTTGCGAATATTCCTCACATGGAGGAAATTTCGGATCGATGTAGTTAGAGTCCATCAAATACGAACTCATGATCATTAATTTCTGGAGTGGAAAATAATTTTTCTCGCTTTGTCGTTTTTCTGCTCCATAAAGCCCTCCTACTAGCTGGCGACCCCGTAAAGTTACTTTCACCATGTGACTCCACTAGCCAATCACAACCCGCATCCTAGTCCCCGGATAAGGAAACCAAAAGCTTATTTAAAATGTAATTTTCCCTTTCCATGTTTGTTGTTGTGTTTTCATTTGTTTCTCTTCCAGAGCAGATCCCACACAATGATGGAGCCCTATAGCCTGTGTGCGCTTTGTGTGGGGGCTCCGATGGTATTTACTGGCAAATACACATAAAGGGAGATATAGAAGAGAATGTGCACATTAAATGGATACTAGAGGTGGGTGGGGAATATTCACCTCCTCCCTCTGTAAGAAAGGCATACACACAAACATGCACACATACAATAATACATCTCCTCCAAACACAGGACCTGGTGCCTTTTTATATCTAGATCCCCTCGTCCTCTGTACCTACCATATCGTCCAATTTGTGAGCCCAGGGTCATCGCTTCCATCCCAGGAGATCCACAACCGATCCACATTCAGGGTGCCCTGCAATGACAAAGAGAAGAGTCAGAAACATAGGAATCCCAAGTCAAGACCTCTCTATTCAGTGTATGATAGACACGTAGGTATGGGCTTCTACAGCAGACTTCAACCTATATCTAAATATATAGATAGAGATATAGATGATAGATATATAGATAGATAGATAGATAGATAGATAGATAGATAGATAGATAGATAGATAGATAGATAGATAGATAGATAGACGAGTATATAGACATAGGTAGATAATGATGGATGGATAGATAGATAGATAGATAGATAGATAGATAGATAGATAGATAGATAGATAGATAGATAGATAGAGAGAGAGAGAGAGAGAGAGAGTAGAGAGAGAGAGAGAGAGAGAGAGAGAGAGAGTCTAATATATATAATTTGGGTAGCTAGGTAGATAGGTAGGATAGAGGCTGGTAGATAATGGAAGATAGATAGATAGATAGATAGATAGATAGATAGATAGATAGATAGATAGAAAGAGAGAGAGTCCAATATATATAATATGGATAGATAGGTAGGACAAAGACTGGTAGATAACAGTTGATAAATGGATGATATATATATACATATATATACAGAGAGAGAGAGTGAAAGAGAAAGATGTATATATATTTAGAGACAGAGAGAGAGATAGCCCAATATATAATATGGGTAGGTAGATAGACACTGGTAGATAATAGATGTTAAATTAAAGAGATATATATATATATATATATATATATATATATATATATATATATATATAAAGGCAGGTTGGTAGATAAACAGGTATGATAGACACAGGTTCAGAATAGATAATTATTATATTATAGATAGCTAGTTAACTAGCTAGCTAGCTAGTCCAACATATATTTTTATGTTATACATTATATATATATATATATATATATATATATATATATGATAGAGACAGATAGATAAGAGATGATTAATGGATGGTAGATAGATAGATAGATAGATAGATAGATAGATAGATAGATAGATAGATAGATAGATAGATAGATAGATAGGTAGATCGTTCACAATCCCATCCTTCATAGGGTGCTTGGAGTAAATAAAATCACTTATCTGTGCAAAACTGCCTTCTACATTCGCATGTGTCCCTCTGCAACAAGAAGGAAGAGGTTAATTCACAACATACAGCAAAGGCATGAGACAATCTATGAGATTTGGGGAGAAGGACACTCTATCAATGTGGCTGCTGTGATTGTGTTCCCTGGTGGAGTTGGCTTTAGATCACCATGTGGGTGTCTTTCTTATCTGGATGGATGTTGTGGCCATGCAGCCAGTTGACCAGCAAAGTTCCTATTGCCTTGTTGCCTATATCCCCACTCCTGGCTACAGCTAATACCTCCTAAGCAGGATGGATCATGTCACTCAGTACCTAGTGCAATAACACGGCTGCTGAGGATGGAGGACCTGGTCTGCCAATGCAATTTTCATCGAGAAAGGGGCCCCATCGTAGTTTTCTTCTTAAATAGACCAAATGACTGGAGAGGGACTCCTGTTCTGTTTGCACGAAGCATCTATTTCACACATCCTACTTCCAGCAGATAATATAGTGCTTTAAAAAAAAACCCTGGGAATTTATGTAAACATTTCCAAGCAAACAGCTATTACAATTAGGTATTTTATCAAGAGCTTAGATTAGGCATTAAAAATGGGAGTGTAGATATCTGATTGCTCCCCTGTTCAGCTTGATAACAATTATAGCATAGAATCATAGCTTGTAGGGCAATGCCATATTTTACTTGATAACAATAAAAAAGTGACACATAAAGTTAGCTGTTTATGTTTTATTTATTAGTCTAAATGTGCCAGCGGTGGTGCAGGCTTTAGGTTCGTTCTAACAGCTTTTATAGGGCAGTAAAAGGCTATAAATCAGCCAGGAGGATTGGACTGGTTGGGACTTGCTCTTTTGCGGTGGCTGTTCAGTCTTTATAGGAAATGTAATAATGTGTTATTTTATGATTATTTAATCTACACCTTTAATCCACTCCTCCCGCCCCTCTCTCTCTCTCTCTCTCTCTCTCTCTCTCTCCTTCTCTCTTCCTCTCTCTCTCTTTTTCCACTACCCAAGATAGTTCTTCTGTGCTAGTAACCACTTACAACGACTACTGAATGAAGTGGCGCATTAAACACCAGGGATTCCCCACAATTTATTCAAAGTGCGAGAAAAAAAAATAAAAAGTTGTGATCAGAGGTTTGTAGCATCACCCATATACCCCCCTAGAGACGAATCTGTGACTGCTGTCTCCACACAAATTCGATTCTACAGGGTGCATATAAGCGCCTTCTTGGTATCTGCAACTTTGATGAGGGCTTGTTAAATGAATGTGAATTAAAAGTGCCATTATAAAGCCACAATGGTTATAACTTCATCCAGATGTGAAGCAGCATGCTGTTATTATGGCTCTCTGTTTCCTAACTACCCACTGGCTTGTGCTTAGATAAACACTGCTAACTTTCAGGAGGTAATGTGGTTGGATTTACACCCATCTGCTGGGTTGCTGGGTGTCACAGCCCTAATCAAGGCACATTTCTACTTACAGGCTTGTGGTGTAGATTTACTGGGGGGGGGGGTACTTTTTATTTGTGCTCCCACTAAAGCTGTCATTTTTTGCCGCTCTTCACTTCACATATCTACATAGGTCCGGTTGCAAATCACAATTTCTATATCCTAACAGTGGATTTGATGGGAACACAGGCCAATGTAAAAATCACTCCTTTAGCAAACCATCCCCCCACCATGCAGTTAAGTGTAAAATAATAATTTTGTAAGTTTCCCTAATTGCAATGGGGTGTGTCAAAGAGTCCGAATGCAATGGATCAAAGTAAAATGACCCTTTTAATATAACGCCCCTAGGCATTTGCTCATCTCATCTCCACAACTGTAGATGAATGGATTAGACATCTGTAACATTAACGTATATATACGTAATGTATAGAACTGCTCTTTACACCAGAATCACTGGGGTTGTAGTAAAAGCTCCAACAATATTTTGTTTATTTTACTTTTGTTTTTTATTCAATCACAAATAGCATGCTGAGATCTCACATATACAAGGCCTAGCTGGTTATATAGTTTATTTACTAAGCATGCTGTAGCTAACCCTAATCACTTTAACCCCACGACAATGTACATGGCAGCTCCTCGCCTTTTCTCCTGTTACAATCAGTATTCTAGCATACTAATATATATGTTTATGCTGCTTCTTAGCTCAATCACGGGGCTTTCCTTCCTGTAACAAATATGGCCAGTTCTTGTCAAGCCATTTCTCTTTCTCCAAGCTTCTTTCATTAAGTACTGAGCGAGCCTGGCTGTGGGTAAGGTGCAGAACTGGGAGCCACATCTTATGTAGAAAGCAGCATTAAATATCACTGCTGAGCTTTGTATGAAGGAGAATCGGCCCAGCTGTGACGTGCACTGGCAATGTGGGGGCACATGGAGGAAATTACCCGATTTACTAAAACACCAGGATTACAGGGAGTCTGTTTGTAAACATTGTGGACTGGGTGGCAAAACGTACAAGTAAGATTAAAAAAAACCCTCCCTCTACTTCTCTCTTCCTCTTTCATTCTTTTTTGTATCTCTCTTTCTTTCTTTTTTTATCTCTCTCTCTCTCTCTCTCCCTATTTTTCATTATTTCATTATTTTTTTTTAATCTCTCTCTCTCCCTCTCTTTAATTCTCTTTATCTATCACCCTCTCTTTAATTCTTTCATCTTTTTATCTCTCTCCCTTTAGTTCTTTCGCTTTTTTATCTGTCCCTCTTTCCTTCTTTCTTTCTGCCCATTTGTCTCTCTTTCTCTGTCTCTTTCATTCTGCCCTCCCCCCCCCCTCTCTTTATCTCACACACATTCTTATTTTCTTTTTGTCTGACCCTCTCTCCCTCTGTCTTTCTCTTTCCCCTCTCTCTTATTTTTCACCCTGCTCCTCTTTCTCTCTTTCACTGTATCTCTCTTTCTTTCTCTCCTCTCTTTCTTTCTTTCTATTTCTCTCTGTCATTTACTCTTTCAATCTCTCTCTCTCCTTTTGCCTTTCCTTCTCTCTTTCTCTCTATCTTTCCTTCTCTCTTTCTCTCCTCTCCTTTCTGTCTGTCTATCCATTCCTCTCTTCCTCTCTCATTCTTGTCTCTCTTGCTTTCTGTCTCTCTCTTTCTCTTTTACTTTCTGACTATCTCTCTCTCTCTCTCTCTCTCTCTCTCTCTCTCTCTCTCTCTCTCTCTCTCTCTCTCTATCTTTCTCTCTTTCTGTCTATTTATCTCTCCTTCTCCCTTTCTCATTGTCTCTTTTTCTCTGTCACTCCTCTCTCTTTCTGTATATCTTTCTTTCTCTGTCTTTTTCTTTTTCCGCTTCTCCCTTTTTTCTTGTCTTTCTATCTCTCTCTTTCTGTATATATCCTTTTACTTTTTTCTCTTTCTTTTTTCTTTCTTTCTTTCTTTCTTTCTTTCCTTTTTTTCTTTCTTTCTTTCTTTCTTTCTCTCTTTCTGTTTATATCTCTTCTTTTCTCTCTTTCTGTCTCCCTCTTTCACTTATCTTTTCTTTCTTTTCTTTCTTTCTTTCTTTCTTTTCTTTCTTTCTTTCTTTCTTTCTTTCTTTCTTTCTTTCTTTCTTTTCTTTCTTTCTTTCTTTCTTTCCTTTCTCCCTCTCTCTCTCTAATTTTCTGCTCTGGTCCTCTGGCTTTTTGTTGCTGCATAAAAAGCCTGGAAAATTATGCGGCTGTGGAGTTGGTGAAACATTCTGAGCACAAAGCGTCTTTTTTGACAGTTCCGAAGAAAAATAACAGTCTATTGTCCCCAAGGGTTCATTGAAGGTGCTATTACCATACTGACCGTTTTGGTAACCTGCACCTCACGCAATTAGCAATCTGTGCATGTTAGAAAAATGGACTACAATCTCCTCTTTCTGCTTGGCATAACAGCAAAACCCTGACATCTCTCCCTCTAATAACAAAACCGAGATTCTCTTATTTTTCT